CACGGGGTTATGGAGTTTCGAAGCAGTAGCAGAATATCGGAATCTTCCGGATCCGTGATCGCCTTAATTCTTCTGCTTTTCATTCATGCCGCTCACTCTTTCTATCTCCCAGGTGTTGCTCCTCAGGATTTCGAAAAGGTATTCGAATTTTGTGCTACTGGTCTCTTAGATCTGAATTGAATCTCCTGGATCTGCGTTAGGTCTCTTGTATGGTTTTGATTAATACTTGATCCGCGAGAAAATGAGAGTCGGTGTGCTGATGCACCGACTTTTGATTAAGCTTTGTTTTTGTTTGTTTGTTTCTCAGAGAATGTGTAATGGGTTTCTGCTGAGGATTTAGTTTCACGTAGTTTCCGATTCATGAATCTCTCGATCTGAGCAATGTCGGCGAGCTACATCGATATTTGATCTTCTTCTGGATTTAGCCATATTCGTTTTTGAATTTGATTGCTTTTGTTGGGTAGGTTCTTAGTGATCTTGGGTTACATTTGCAATGTCGGTCCTTCATGCTATATTACGGATCTCAAATCGAAGTATACTTGCTTGTTTTATAATAAAATTCAGTAGATTGAGAACTGAAATGATGGAATCATGTTCAAACGTGAGTCTTGTTTGCTGGTTTTTTTGTTGTTTGCAGGGCGATGAGCTGAAAGTGAAAGTGAATAAATTAACCTCCATAAAGACTCAGCTTCCATACTCGTATTACTCCCTTCCTTTTTGTCGCCCTAAGAAGATAGTGGACAGTACGGAGAATCTTGGAGAAGTGCTTCGAGGTGACCGGATAGAAAATGCCCCATATACGGTTAGTCCGTATTGAACTTTTAATTCTTCAGTGATCAGGAGGCTGTCTAAGATTCTATGTCTGTACTTAAATTCTAACTCTTGCGGAATTTAAACAATTGCAGTTTAAAATGCGGGAGGCACAAATGTGCAATATTCTCTGCCGGGTTGTTCTTGATGACAAGACAGCCAAAGCGTTCAAAGAAAAGATCGATGATGAATACCGGGTCAACATGTAGGAACATGAATAGAAACTTTTCTTTGACTCTTTGTATGGAGAATATTCCTTCTGTCAATTTTCTTACATGTTTTTTTTCGTGTGTGTTAGGATCCTTGACAACCTTCCTCTTGTGGTTCCAATCGAAAGAGTCGATCAGGGTTCTGCCTCTATTATTTATCAGCTCGGCTATCATGTAGGTCTTAAAGGCCAGTATGAGGGGGTAAGTGAGTTTAGATTGTGGACACTATTTCGAATTCAGTTGAAATAGCTCAATTTTCTAAGTTGCCTTTTGCATACGCAGAGCAAAGAACAGAAGTTCTTTATGCACAATCACTTGGCATTTACAGTCCGGTATCACAGAGATATGCAAACCGATGCTGCAAGAATCGTGGGATTTGAGGTCAAACCTTACAGGTAAAAATCTTGTCCATAATTTGAACATATTTTGAGATCCCCTGTCCTTCAGTGCTGATAGTCGTTCCCTTGATTTTTAGTGTTAAGCATGAATATGAGGGAGAGTGGAGTGAGAAGACCCGTCTGACGACCTGTGATCCTCATACAAAACGCCTGGTCGTTAGCTCGGCTACCCCTCAAGAAGTTGAACAAAAGAAGGAGATTATCTTCACATACGATGTAAATTTCCAGGCAAGTTTTCTTGTTTACATACTCTACGGTTTGTGTCTTAAATAAATGCTATGGAGTTCTTGTTCTCAATTTCTGTGCTGATATCCCGCTGCTGCTCCTGTCCAGGAAAGTGAAGTGAAGTGGGCATCTAGATGGGATGCTTATCTTCTGATGAGTGATAACCAAATTCACTGGTTCTCTATTGTCAATTCTCTGATGATCGTCCTGTTCCTGTCTGGTATGGTGGCGATGATAATGCTGAGGACTCTTTACCGTGACATTTCGCGATACAACGAGCTGGAGACTCAAGAAGAAGCTCAAGAAGAGACAGGATGGAAGCTTGTCCATGGTGATGTTTTCAGGCTTCCGACTAATTCAGATCTGCTCTGTGTCTACGTTGGTACAGGGGTCCAGTGTTTAGGCATGGTACTTGTCACAATGATCTTCGCCATGCTCGGATTTCTTTCCCCTTCCAATCGGGGTGGTCTGATGACGGCAATGCTCCTGCTCTGGGTCTTCATGGGGCTATTTGCTGGTTACGCCTCTTCTCGTCTTTACAAAATGTTTAAAGGAACAGAGTGGAAGAGAATCGCCTTCAGAACAGCCTTCTTGTTCCCTGCTGTTGTCTCAGCTATCTTCTTTGTCCTAAACGCTCTCATCTGGGGACAGAAGTCATCCGGGGCTGTTCCCTTTGGCACAATGTTTGCCTTGATCTTCCTCTGGTTCGGCATCTCGGTTCCTCTTGTCTTTGTCGGTGGTTACATCGGTTTCAAGAAACCAGCTGTTGATGACCCAGTGAAAACCAACAAAATTCCGAGGCAGATCCCAGAGCAAGCTTGGTACATGAACCCGGTTTTCTCAATCCTAATCGGAGGAATCTTACCGTTTGGTGCAGTGTTCATTGAGCTATTCTTCATCCTCACATCCATCTGGCTCAACCAGTTCTACTACATCTTCGGGTTCCTCTTCCTCGTCTTTGTAATCCTCATTGTTACGTGCGCGGAGATAACCATAGTACTCTGCTACTTCCAGCTTTGCAGCGAGGACTACCTTTGGTGGTGGAGATCTTACCTCACGTCAGGCTCATCAGCTCTCTATCTCTTCCTCTACGCAACGTTCTACTTCTTCACAAAGCTTCAGATCACCAAACTGGTCTCGGCGATGCTTTACTTTGGGTACATGCTCATCGCTTCTTACGCATTTTTTGTGCTCACGGGAACAATTGGGTTCTATGCTTGTCTCTGGTTCACACGGCTCATCTATTCCTCGGTTAAGATCGATTAGAGGATATGATGAGGAATTGATGATTACGGAACAAAGAAGCAAAGGTGATTATAGTTTATCTTCTTTTTCTTTTCTATAAATGTTTTTGTTGCATTTTAGGTCTATTTTGTTGCAGAACAAGAGAGTTTTTAATATATGTGAACGTTATAAGAGTTGTGTATCTTGTTTGATGGTATGCGACCTTTAGTGAGAATCTTTGTCAAAACCAAATTTTCAAAAAAAATTGTTCATAAGCACAAAGTCCCAAAAGCATTTTTAGCGTTTTCATTAGGCTTTGAATGGGGAACATATAGAAGTGCGGTATTTGTCCCTCTTTTTGTAATTCGCTTTTAGTTACACCATTCAACAACAAATCTATGGGTTAAAATAACATTCTGCATGTGATAGTTGATATGCACCAATACGCGTGTTTAAGGTCAAGTGCGGTTTTTTTGTTTTTTTGATAGAAAACACTGAACGTTTTGGGAAAAAATATGACAATAAATTGTAGGGTAATTCTTAAAAGTACTAGTTTTGTTTTTAAAAATAATATCGTTTTTAAATGTTTCAAAAATATCACTATTTGGTAAATGTTCCAAAAATACCACAAAACTGAAATTAATTTTTAACATTCAAAA